TGTTATTATATTATAATTATTTTTATTTAAAAATGTATATAATATAATATATTTATTTATTAAATAATAATATAAACATAATTTTTTTATAACATTTTTATATATTATTAAATAAATAGATGTATATTATATTATGAGTAAATTTTTAAATAAAAATAAATGATTAAATAATAAATAAGATTATATAAAAGAAGTTTTCTCTTCATTATTTTTTTCATTTTTTTAATAATACATTACACTCATTTAATAATAAATTATAATTACAAATTTGTAATTTTATCTAAAATTATAATTATAACATTACCTTAAAAATGATAAAGAAATATATATATATATATATAATTAATTCAATATTTTTAATGAATTAAAATGTATTGTAAAAGATTTGTTAGGGATATTTAAATAATTTTTATACTTTTTCCTGCGCATCAACTCCAGTAACACTTTTGTTTGGTTGGATGGAAACACCAAATAGGGCCTCATGCTCCACCATTATCAATTGTGATTTTTCTTCTTTTTTAGGGCAAATCAGCACTTCACGGAAGTTAGGGATGAAAGTGTACCGTATCAGAAAAGCTAGGGCTAGAGTAGCCTTTTACCCTATTTTAATTTAATCCCAATTATTTTTTATTTCTTTTATATATATGTATTTTTTTAATTATTATTTCCAGTCCTGGACAGAACAGATCTCTCGCAGTTTATTTCTACCACCTCTTTCTCTCTCCCCGACTCTACAACTGCTATCATCAGAACTCAAAGGTGAGTTCCTTCTCCGATCTTAATTTTGATTTCCTTAATCCGAATTCTCCTTGATTTTGCTTCCCACAATCGAAATTTACTCGCTGAATCGATATCACGGAATCAAGCTTGCTCCTTTCGTCATTTTTCTCTTTGATTAAGGTTGTTTTAATTGTTTTCTCATTTTTCATTTATCGTTTCTGTTGTCAAAATTTACAGGGAATTTTATTTTAATTTGTATTTATATCTGTTTGGACACTGAGAAAACATGGGTAAGAATCAATTTGGCATTAATGGATGAAAGAATCTTCAGGGCCGGAGTTTCATTTCCGTGGCTTGCTTACTTTAGTTGATTAAGTTGATATTTTTAATTATGTGTGGTATCCTGTTCCTGTGATTTCTAAGCATCCAGTTAGAGGTTAACTCTCTTGATGAGATGGAAAGTTTTGATTTTTTTTTTCTTTTTTTTTTTTTAATAATTAATTTTGAATGATATGGTTAAGACTACTTGAAGAAATTATGTACCTTGACTGACTCAAAATTAAGCAATTGTTGATGATAATTGTTGGTGTTCGAGAATCAAAAAATTCATCATCTTAGTGGTATCCATCTCTGATTTTTCTTGTTTTTGCTGTATTTTCTTGTTTTAGGACAGACCTTGAAATGGGTGTGTCACAAAACAGCATTGATATGGAGGAAGGGACGCTGGAGATTGGCATGGGTAAGTTTTCATTTTTCATGGTTGCTTCAAGATACTGATATGCTGCTGTCTTTTTAAATGTCAAAATGGATTTATGGTCTTGGTTGCTAATCAAACGCTCAGTTTAGCCGTGACACAGTTTTTACAAGTCTATGGTTGCTATGCCACATGCAATGTAAAAATGTGTTGGTTATTGCATCACAAGTAAAACAATTAAGGCTATACAAAATTAGTTTGCATTTAGTATCAATGGGGACTTCACTGTGTTTTTGGGAAACATTGCAGAGTATAGAACCGTCTCTGGAGTGGCTGGACCTCTAGTTATCCTTGATAAAGTTAAGGTAGGTTATTCCATTTTTTCCATAAAGAATTTTATACTGCTCTCCTCCTCCTCGATTTTGTTTTCTGCTCTTTAGTATTTACTGATCTGTGCTTTCTTTGATCTAATCTTAGGGACCAAAATATCAAGAGATTGTTAATATTCGTTTAGGCAATGGAACAACCCGACGTGGTCAGGTCCTAGAAGTTGATGGGGAAAAAGCAGTTGTTCAGGTGATTGCTGTGTTCTTTTAACATTTTTTAATCACGAATATTATCATTATGTGCACAATGACTCTGTTCTAGAAGGAAAAATGACTTTCACAGTTTAAATTGTGGACCAATATATTTTCTCCTTATTTGAGAACTGTGATACCCTACATCAGAGTCTAGTGCCTTGGTCTAATTATCTATGAATGCTTGTATAGCTTGTGTAGTCTATTTATGTAGTTGTCCTCTGGCTAGGTCTTTGAAGGAACATCTGGAATTGACAACAAATATACAACTGTGCAATTTACTGGGGAGGTATGTGGTCTTTATTATTCTTTTTTTAACTCTTTAATTCATTTTCATTAGCACAGCTAGAAAATGATTATATGCTGCTTATATTCTATCATATTCTTGGACTAATACCTGATTAATGCCATTTTCTTGGTTGTCAAGCTACTCTTCATGGAGTACTGATGCATACCTAGTTATTTAACCCTTTTAAAATACATAGTTATCTGTCTAGCACCATGGTTGACTGGGGTGTGTAATGGCTCAAAGATCTTGCATAAAAACTATATCATACGGTGAGCTAGAAGTTGTTTTCTGATGTTATACCTGTATTCTTGGATACATGAGTGGTTCTTATTGATTGATCATTTCATTGAGTTATGTTATCATCCCCAGCCAATTGACTCCTTCATAGAATGATGTTTTCACCTAACTTTAAACACACAAAATAAAGATATAGTTGCTTTGCAATTATATGCATTCGATGAGCTTTTGTTGCAGTTTAAATTAATAAAAAGTTGTCAGGGTTTGTTAAATGAAGCTCATGTTCATACATTGCAGTCTCTGATTTCTTGACAATATTTATCTTGCCTGCTGAAAATTGGTGATTTTCTTTCCCCCTTTTCCTCTATACCTCTTGTCTCTGTTTTGCAGGTGTTAAAAACTCCCGTCTCTTTGGACATGCTTGGGCGCATTTTCAATGGCTCTGGCAAACCAATTGACAATGGTCCTCCAATATTGCCTGAGGCTTATTTAGATATATCTGGTATGTGGTTTTATGGAATGGGTGATATTTGAATGGTGTGTGTTCCTTTTAGGGATTTAAATATTTACACATCTTTCAATCTTCTTTTCTTCTTCGTAGGGAGTTCTATCAACCCTAGTGAGAGAACCTATCCTGAAGAAATGATTCAGACAGGGATTTCTACAATTGATGTAATGAATTCAATAGCTAGAGGACAGAAAATCCCGCTTTTTTCTGCTGCTGGTCTTCCCCATAATGAAATTGCTGCTCAGATATGTCGCCAGGCTGGTTTAGTAAAACGATTGGAGAAGTCTGATGACCTTCTTGGGGTAATGGTTCACTTACTGTTATTAATTGGCTAGTGATGATTTCATTAGTTAGATAGTTGGTGTGAGAAGATGTAGCTTTCAACAGAAGTGGATTGTTTATTGGAATCTATGAATTTCCAGGATGGGGAAGAAGACAATTTTGCAATTGTATTTGCAGCCATGGGTGTAAACATGGAGACTGCACAGTTTTTCAAACGTGACTTCGAGGAAAATGGTTCCATGGAAAGGGTGACCCTTTTTCTGAACCTGGTATGTGTTGAGTCAGCATATAAAGTTTGTTGTTGGATTCATATCTATTAACCTTATGATTTTGGATGTGAATGTCGATTAGATAATAATGTTGATTGAAGTGTTTGACTGTTTGTCCCTATAATGTCCTCCCATCTTTTGTACAGGCAAATGACCCGACAATTGAACGCATTATCACTCCTCGTATTGCTCTTACAACTGCAGAATATTTGGCATACGAGTGTGGCAAGCATGTTCTTGTGATACTCACAGATATGAGTTCTTATGCTGATGCCCTTCGTGAGGTAACAGACAAACTGTTCTTTTGTCATGATATTGTCCATGGGGGGTACAATACTGCCAGTAATGTGAATCATGCATGCATTAATTTGCATATAATAGTCTTAATCTTTTTTATATGGTTAGACTCTTGGGAATTTAATATTAGAAGTTTTCTATCTTTTTGATCAATTCATTTTGGTGATTTTTTTAGTTATTTATTTTTTCCAGTTTGTTTAATACAAACCACAAATTGATAATGCAGGTTTCTGCTGCCAGAGAAGAAGTACCTGGGAGACGTGGATATCCCGGGTATATGTATACTGATCTGGCCACAATATATGAACGTGCTGGAAGAATTGAAGGAAGAAAAGGTTCTATAACGCAAATTCCAATTCTAACAATGCCAAATGATGGTAATGCATCCTTTTAAACCATACCAATTTTCTGGCATATCCATTGCTTCTGTGATCACAATACATTGCTTGAGCTTTATTGTTTTTTTGGACAGACATTACACATCCTACCCCAGATCTTACAGGATATATCACTGAGGGGCAGATATACATTGACAGGCAGCTTCACAACAGACAGGTAAGATTGGGTTGTAGTGGAAGCTGCTATTGATTGTCTTATTTATTATTTAGACCTTGAGTGTTGAAAACATAAATACTCAATGGCATCACATGAATGAATTAAAATATCAGATTATCTAGACATAATATTTTGAAATGGCAAGGAATTATGTAACACTGCAATAGCTATGTGACAGTTATTTTGCCAGTTGAATTCTGAGCCATTGATATTGATATCAGTCTTCAAACTGGGTGTTGTTGCATGCATGACGTATGATTATCATATTGATTCATACATTGTTCTCATAGTAGACATTCATCTTTCTGAATTGGACAGATATATCCACCAATCAATGTCCTTCCATCACTATCTCGACTGATGAAGGTAAAGCATAACTCTTTCATTTGATTGAACTCTTGATTTTGTTGGGGGGAAAAGATAAGGGTTTTTTTGAAAAATACTCTCTTATTATTGCAGAGTGCCATTGGTGAGGGGATGACTCGCAGGGACCATGCTGATGTGTCTAATCAGGTCTGATTGGACAGTTAAATTGGGTCAGGCTGATAATTTGACCAGAAGACATCTAACCTTCCTTTTGTTTTCTGATCATTTGATTTCAGCTATATGCAAATTATGCCATTGGGAAGGATGTACAAGCAATGAAAGCTGTGGTTGGTGAAGAAGCACTTTCTTCAGAGGACCTGGTATCTCTCTCTTTCCAACTTCCTCACCAATATTTTTCTCTGTTGTTTAGTAATTTTTTGGAAAGAAAACTTATGTGATTCTCTTGATTATAACAGCTATACCTGGAGTTCCTAGATAAATTCGAGAGAAAATTTGTTACCCAAGGAGCATACGACACCCGAAACATCTTCCAATCACTTGATTTGGCATGGACATTGCTTCGCATCTTCCCTCGTGAGCTTCTCCACCGTATTCCAGCAAAAACCCTTGACCAGTACTATAGCCGAGAAGTAGCTAATTGAAGGAAGCAAGCTCCGCTGGTCTCAGACTGTGTGCTTTATTGTCTCTCTCAGAGTTTATTTATTGCCTGCTTTTGGTTCATAGCTTTTCCCTATCTTCATAAATAAAAATGACTTTAATCCAGTTAAGTTCCCTTCAAAAGTTCTTTGGCTAGTCAAGAGGAAACCAAAATTCTTTCAAATATTACTATTACTTTAGATCTTGTAAATTTTGTACTCTGTTCTTTAGAGCAAAACCTGATTATGCCTTGGATTTTGGATATAAAACTTTTTGGTTAATGAAATTAGGGCTAGTAGGAATTGTGAAGCCCTATGTGATGCTCGTTATTTACTGTGGTCTGTTTTGGATTTTGTTTTATTTTAAAGGAAATACAGATCTAGTGCTTGTTCATCTCCGTTATTGATAGCTTCTGTATTATGGGTGGGTTCATGCTCATCACTAATTTTGTTAATGTTATTAATTTTATTTATAATTTTATTAGTTTATAAAGTTTTTTTTAATAGTTGATTATGATATTTAAAATATCTGTTTATGAATTAATTTTGATATGTTACATAACAAATATTACTTGTTTGATTAGTTATTAGTTATTTTTAACATTTAAAATAAGATAAAATTTTGACAGTTTTGACAATCTTAACAAAATTAGTGATGGTAATAACCATAGTCCTTTTCGTATTTGTATTACTTTCTTTCTCTAATTTTATTATTATTATTATAAGTTATACAATAAAAAGACAACTTTTTTTCATCTTTTTACTCACTGCATCTTACTCAGTCACCCAAGCTGACTGAACATGCATACATCCCCTTCCCACTGCTTTCCACAGGCCTACTTCGGTTGCATTCTTGATGTTGGGGGTTTTGGGATTTGGACACATCTCTTTTGTATCACTCTTTTATTATAACAGTGGAAAAGATGCACGATTTTATGCATGTTTTTAACAAAAACGAAATTAAGCAGCATAATGACAATTCCAACCGTTTATGAGAATGTTGCAGTTCTGGTATTGACATGGTTTTGGAAAAATCAACCAACATCGAGATCTTCATCAATTTTATTGTTTACTTTGAAAGTTGCATCATCTTCAAACAAATTTGACAGACAAATATCTACTCCCCCTTTAGTAGTACTTCTTAAGCACTTGGATTTCCCTCATGCGCATGGATGTGTAGACCAAACAAAACAAAACCATCCAATAATTCTTGGAATTCACAGGAATGATAAAAATGAACTGGGTAAACCTCAGCCTGCTTTTGATGTTCTTACTACTTTAGGAAGAACAATTGAATCGAGGTTCCCGGGATAAGGGGTCCACAAGGCAAAACCACCTTTACTTTCTTTCAGACTACTACCATTACCCTTAAACTCACTCCAACTTTTCACCCACTCTACTCTGAAGGAATGCTCCCGATTATGTAGGTGCAAGACAAACAGTGAAGTGTACTCACAATTTGGAAACATGTGGAACTTAAACGACCCACCTAACCTTTAGACAACATAGCCAAAACTCAGCTGATCTCTCGGTGTGAAGAGATGGACCTCACCGAACCACAGGCAACTAAACAGGTTATTCAGTAGAGTTTGTTCACGTGTGATTATGGCTCCCTCCGGCACATCTGCAGTTTTTGATTCACTGTTAGACAAATGAAATATTAAGTGCATCAATTACCATAAGTTCATAAAGTTTGCAGAAATTAGCAACAACACTATGGAACATGACCTTAATAGTTAACTACTCCTGTGCTTGAAACAAGAGGCAAGAATTTCTGAATTCAACACAAAATATGGAAAGAGGCAGCTAATCATGCTATGCAATCTAACAATTTGGCCTCCCATCTTACCACTAATTGTATTTTTCTTCAAACTCCATGGCTCCATTCCCTCATAACAGTATATCTTCATGTGCAGATCAATAAGAGGTCTGGTGTATTGCTTCCTCCACTTGATTGCATCAGCTTCCTCTATATGCTTCTATGATATTTGTGCTGAGCAATGGCATATGTATGCTTTCCACACCATAAATACTTGAAAATTAGAGCTTCACATCATCTAGTTGTTTCTACATCATGTTCACAAGGACAAATCCACAAGGTAAGGTTAAGATAAGACAAAGAACAAGAACAGTTCTTGGTCAAAGACCATCTTAAAATATGTCAACTAAACACATGGCACTCAACAAGATGACATTCTTTAACAGCTTATACTACTTTTCTTGTCATTCAGTTAGCAGAACTCTTGCTACTGAAAAGGCAATAAAGTGGCTAAAAAAGACAGGAGATTCTAAGCACAGCACAATTAGATTACTATTGTTCTTTATCCTATACTGATTGACCAACTGCTTCCATTTGAACTTATGCTCCATAATGTTGCTAACAAAGTAAATGTACTTGAAGTACTTAGATGAGAAACTGAAAATTCCCACTCAACAAAGTCCTATTTCCAGTATCATCAACATAAAGCAGAAAAACAAAATATCTGCCTCTCCTTTTTCCTCTTCTTGACTTTTCAGCAACCAAATATGGAATCAATTTGAAGGCCCATCAAGAATGGTAATAACATATAAATTACAAAAATTCTTCATAAACTAAATCATATAAGAGAAAACCTTTCAAGAATTAGTAATGGATCTACTATCAGCTCCATTTTACCATCTATCCAGATGCTGTACTGTGCTTCAGGGAATAACCTGTGAGTCAAAATCTTTGGAACCTTTCCATTCCTTCTACGTTCATCATAAGGTTGATGCTTAAATAAAATAAGACGCCATATATCAACCCATAGTCCTCCATCTGAATCCTTCCTGGTGGTAACATTTTCCTTTATAAAGTCAAGAGATACCTCATCCGCCACCATCAGAAAGCAGAAGAGCATCTTAGAATGTTCACTTATATTTGAAGGCTGGTGTGGTATATCATACTTATCAAAAATTCCAGATGCAACAACAAACCGACACTTTTTGACATATTCAACATCTGCAGGATCCATTTCAGCACCACCATTTTTCATAAATCAACAGTGCACCTGAAGGGAGAAAACACGTGACAAAATAATAAGATATCAAATTAACTATATTTGTCATTGGCGGGGAGGGTATGGGAAACACGAGTAAGTAAGAAAACTTTTAACTTCCAATATATAAGCCAGACAAGTAAATTAAATTGAAAATAGAAACCTCCATCCCCAACAGTGGTTTGCCTTCAGTTAACAAAAATATGAACAACAGCAGCAGGATTAATCTAACACCATGTGATTGTACAGAGTATTCAGATTACCTTTATGGTAGGTTTTAATTTAAAACTCTCTTCTCTTTGCAACCAATTTTGATGCCCTCCAAATAAGGGGGTGACTGAGATCCACCATTCGCAAACTTATCCTCTGTAATATAGGTTAGCTTTTTGACAATTTCATCTTGTGTTCTTTCTTCTGGAATAACTACTTTGTCAGGGTCATTAGCAACAGGAATTGGACAACCTAATTGATAAGGGCATAATCAGTATCACAAATTATAATAACATAGAGAGACAGATTTAGAGAAGAGATGTCTTGATAATCCTACGGTGTTGTGAGTTCTGTACAAGGCCCATCGTGTCTAACGCTATAAATACTTTAACCTCTCTGTTACCCCTAGCTGCATATCAAACAAGATACACCTCTACTTCTAACTTTATTTTTTTTGAGATTCAAAAATTGTGGAAACTTTCCACTCAATACGTGAATAACCCAAAAAGGAAGTAAACCAGCAAAAACAAGAGAAAAGAGAAGATATAAATATTGCATTCCCTCTCTTAAGTCATGCTCCCTTGTTTCAAAGATAATGCAACATATAATACGTTTTTGAACAGTACCTGAAAAGAATGCAAATGAAGTTTGGCAGGACCATACATGAAATAATAATACAATTAAAATGAGCAACATCCACAATATGCCCACTACCAGAACCAATTGAATAAAGCCCCTCTTCTACACCATCTTCACAGGATAATCTTGGGGCATCCTTCCAGCGAAAAAGAAACCACCTTCCTCATCTGCATCACCACCAACTTCAATTAGAAACACACCCCAGTATCCTTTGTTTCTTCAGCTAAATTCATAATATGGGAGGTTCAGAATTCCACCCCAGAAATTCAATGAAGCATAAAAATCTAATCTTTATTATCTCAAACATCATTAGGTAACTGCATTATATTATATAGGCATAGATAAAGAAAGTAGGATGAAATACTTATGGAATTCCAAAAATTGAAAATAGAGGGCATTTGCTCACCTTTAGCATGTGTGTTGATTATTGGGTTCTCTTCTACGATTTAACGGAAGCGACACAGACCGTTTAACCTTACTCTCCATAATTATTAATTACTCACTTCAACTGCTCATCACAAAGGCAAGAACTGAGCAACTTACACAAAAGAAAAAAAAATTGACACAAAAGCTTAACTTTTATACAACCCAAGAGGCATATACGAATCACTACGACAACACAAACCCCATATTGGTACTCTAATATAAGGGGAAGATTTTATCTCCTGAGGGGTATCAAAAACAACAAGAAGAAGAAATACTCAGATCTTGGAAACGCCTAGAGATGACATTCAGATGCATGCCGGAGAAGAAGTGATGCAGAATTTACCCAAAACTCTTAATGGCTACAAAGGAAGGAGAAGCTATGCAATGCAGAGATAGGAATGAACTCTCTCCTCCACAAATAAGAGAAAGGTGGCAGTCCGGGGCGCCCTGAGACGAAGGCGGCAAACGGTGCGTTTTATATCCTAGCCTGCGACCCTGGAAGGCAAATGACCGATTTTTGCTGAATTAAACGGTGCGTTTCAGTCTTCGTCTTCCGGGTGTTTCGGGTTCCCCTTTATTGTACTTAGCGTCGTCTTCTCCCTCGTAAAGTTGTTCCCTTTATTAACAACAGAAAAGGGGTCTTTTATTTATTTTTTTTTCTAGGGTTTGAGTTTGATGAATGAGGAGGGTGAAGAATGGAGAGAGAGGTGATAGAGTCAGAGATGGTGTTGCCGACGCACCTGAGTTTCAAGAAGATACAGATGTATGAAAAGTACCCAAAAGGCCAAGCCAGAGGCAGGCATTGGAAACACCTAAAGCAGATACTCCAAGCGGAGAATTATCAGAATTATCCTCCAGATGAACTCAACTGTGAGTTTTCTTTCTTTTTCAATTCCAAAACCTGCTGATTTTGTAAAGATTTGATTTGGTTAGTAGAATTTATTCAGAGAACTGAATTTAGAACCCTATGCTCCACGCAGTTAAGAATGCATATTGACTGGTAATTTTGGGTTCTTAATCTCTGTTATTTTTGGGTGAGATGTTGTTTGTGGATAGAATCAAAGAGTGATTTTCTGGGTTTCCAGCATTATTGTTTGGATATAGAATTTAGATCAAAGATAAACTGAAATCCTGAGCGACTGTTCCAGGGAAAAAATAATGCTAATGCGCATGCCTGTGGAAAAAATGAGTTGGACCATCCAAGATGGGTACTATATTGATTGGCTGTGTCTTTTGGCAACTTGGATAAGATATAATGTAACCCTTTGCCCTTTTTTCCCTTAAAAGGATGTGAGGTGCATTGCATTGGTTGGATAAACCAATTGAAATTCTAGAATTCTTAGTTTTTTTCCCTTTTTTTTTCACTTTTAGTAGCTTGGTATGGAGCTAGTTATGGACAAAGTCCCGATGATAAGTTTTTGTTTTGGGTTAAATGTATTGATTAGAAGCTGAATGCTGTGGAAAGTTTAATAATATATAAATTAATATGAACTCAAAATGCATGTTACTTAATCAGCATTGTAATTTGTAATGTTAGCTGCATCATATTATGGGGCTGTAAGATTAAAGTTCAAGTTCTTTACATTTTTGCTGGCTCAGGAATCAAAATCAAGTCAACTGTCAACTTGATGGTGTTTTATTCATTTGTTGGATCTTGTTTTGTAGATGTTAATATTGAGTCACCTCCCTCCATGCATCCATGCAAGAAAATTTGTGATATAACAGGATTTGAGGTATGTGCTTCTGGTAAATTCTTCAAACTTAGGACTTTAAGATATTCTTCAGAATGTATGATGCCCATTTTTGAGCATTGTTGACTAGTCAGAATTTCTTAAGTTAACCTGCTGCATACATTACTACCTACAAAAGGCCATGGCATTTGCTGGTTTGCTTTGTGGGTTTCCAACTTGTGAAACTGCCATGTTATTTGATTCATAGTATTGCCTGTCCGAACTCAATTCTACTTTTTAGATAAAAAGAAACTGTTTGTGGATCTAATATTATTGCCTATTTGAAATCTTGACCACACCTTGACTTGACAAAGGAAAGGCAAAATATATAGGCTCCCATGTTGCATGACCTCGTTGGTTGCCGTCCAAACTTGGAGAGTCGTGCTTAACATATATCTGTGTTAACTGAAAACACATAAAGAAGTGAACTCTTGTCATTTACAAGCAAAATAGATAGTTTGCAAACATGTTTTTTTTTTTTTTTTTTGGTATTAACCTTCCAATATTTGATAACTACATTGGGTCCCAACTAATCCGAAATCGAATCACGTATTAGGAGAGAAGCTCTCCCAACGTTTGTTTCTTCATTTACAAGACTCGAACTCAACATCTTATTTAAGGAAGACTGAACTCTTTCTACTAGAACCAACAGGTCTCTGGTGTTTGCAAACATGTATCATACATTTTTCTGTCTAGAGGTTAATTTGTTGTTCTATTCTTGCAGGCACCTTACTCTGATCCAAGGACCAATCTCCGCTATGCAAATGCTGAGGTCTTCAAGCTTGTGAGATCTCTTCCTAATGACTACGTGCAAAGGTACCTGGCTCTGAGAAATGCAGCAGTCGTTTTGAAGTAACATTTTCAAAAGACCAGCACTTGGAAAAGGGAGCATCTATTCATGAATCAAATATTTTCTTAAAATATAGATTAGTTTTACCCCTGAAAAATATTCATGCTGCATCATCTGTAGTTTGTACCATGTGGTGCAACTATCAAAATTCATTTCAACCTCTCGAAACCACACTATAAAACTGAAGTGGTTCCCTTCTGTAAGGGTGAGTTAATTAGTCTAATAATTCATCCTCGAGGGAAAGATAACTCTTGTTGAAAATTGAATACACTGATGGCTTTCCTCTTAACTTCATTGCTTTTTTTTTTTTTTTTTTCCATTCTTTTTATGCAAATGGTTTTGACTTTATTCTAAGATAAATGAACCAGAGCTAATTGGAGCTAGAAATGCAGAAACTGAAGCAACCAAAATTGAGTCAGAAATCAAACCTTAGAAATACACTTGAAAGGAAAACCGTCCCTACCTAATAGATTCACCCCCCGTTTTGTATCCTTAAATCTGTAATTATCTTTAAACTTTCAATTCTACCACTAATCAAACTGTGAACAAAGAAGCCCTGATCTGAAGTTCCATAATTTATCAGAGAAAATCACCAACTGATGTGAAGTCACCAATGAAAGAAGAGACAATGATTTTTGCACAGAATGGTACTTCACAAAAAGGAGGAACTCTTTGGAGTTTTCAGGCTGCAAATGATGGTTTCCCCAATAATTTTGTGACCCCACAGAGTGGGAAAAAGATTGGTCAGAATCCTACGGTCCAAGATCAAGTTCCAGCCTTTCAGCAATGGAGCTGGTAAATTTGTTCCAGTACTAGTACTGAATTGCCCAAAATTACACCTTCTACCCCTTAAAATAAAAATATAATTGTTATATTTTTTGTTTTAATATATTTATTAATATTTATTGATTTAATTATTAAATTTTTTATAAAAAAATTTAAATTTAAATTTAAAAATGATATTTTTTAATAAATATATTTTAGAGTGTATTAAATTAGTAAATATATGTATCAACGTTTATTAAAATTTCAATAATTAAAAATTTTAAATATTTTTAATGAGTCAATTATATAAGTAATTTATTAATAATTTTTTTCAAATAAAAGTAAAATATTTTAAATTTGGACTTGCATGTTATATGCATAAAATCGATTAAAAATTTTAAAAAAAATTTATCCATCATGCTGCAACTCAAAACAAAGAAAAAAAAAACTTTTAATAAATTTAGATGATAGATTCATGCCGCCAGCATGTCCTAATTTGAGCACACAAAAATTGGACTCATATGTGTTTTATTAAAAAAAAAAGTTAAAAAAAAAAAAACATTATAGTATCTGCATAATTCCTATAAAACCCGCCATCTTTGCAAATTTGCAATATTCCCCAATAAAATTCTGGGTCTTTATATATTGGTAAACCCCTACGAAATTTCGTCCCCTGCTGTTTCCACACCGAATTCTCTCAACTCGTCCAAAAGATAATACAATACCCAGAAGTCTTGCTCTTCCAAATTGACTACAATCCATATCGGATTGCAGAAAATTTGAAATTAGAGTCTGGTAGCAATGGCGGCTGGTTCTTCGTGGCAGCCACAAGAAGATGGGTTGAGGAAGATCTGTGGCCTCTTGGAGCAGCAGATTTCTCCTTCTTCAGCCGACAAGTCACAGGTTTGGCAGGAGCTGCAGCAATATTCTCAGTTCCCCGATTTCAACAACTACCTTGTTTTTATCCTTGCCAGAGCCGAGGTATTCGCTCATGCTTTCCCTTCGTTTTCTGGGGAAAAATTAGATTTATTTTCTTGTTTATTTAGGAACTTGGGGGGTCTTAGTATTAACACCATGGAGGGAAGAATGCTTTAAAGCAAATATCTTTGGTTGAAATTTTCATTTCCCAGGGTGGAAGCGGGAACTGAATTCTGGGTATTGATCCGATTGTGTTTGGGGAAATTTTTAGTTCGATTTAACACTTTTGGATTTTGAGTTTCCTGAGATATTGGATTCTGGTCTTTATCGAATAGTGTTTGTAGAGGAAACGTTATTTGGTTGGTTTTGCAAATGATTGGGCTGTTAGTTTGAGGAGGGAATTGGCTTTTCTAGCTCATTTGGTATCTACTTGGAGTCCTTGGTGGTTTCCAGTATAATGGATCTATTGGAGTGAATGCTTTTGGTTTAGGGTCCAGTTTTTTTTGTAGGTTTTTTTAATGCAAGTTGGCATAAGCTTGAACCTGTTAATGTGGTTTGCTTTAAGATGTTGTAGAGTAGCTAATTGACTTCAATCGGACCATTCATAGTCACTTCCCTAATGGTAAAAGATATCCATGCATGATAGAGTTTTGTTTTGGCTTACAGTATAAAACATTTTGATCAAAGTTCATTTGCAAGTTTAAAACAAGGAAATTAGGATGAAGGGAAGAATTCCCAGAAGAAGTAATGGGATGTGACGTTTAACTGTTCAGTTCCTGAGATTTTCTATTTATTCATGCATATGATGTGAATAAAAGCTGTTAAGGTTACCTAGACTTTGTTATTCATTCCCTTAATGCCTCAATATTTTCTTTTTGATTGCTGTACTATGCCTCATCAACTTACTAGTTTTGTCACTAAGTACTCTCTGATGTGAGTAAGTTCATTTGCTTAACTTTGAATGTAATTATGAATACCTAGAGTTTTCATGTCCTGGTGTAACTTAATTTCCATTGTTGTTACCTTATATAGGGGAAATCGGTGGAGATTCGACAAGCTGCTGGGCTACTATTGAAAAATAATCTGAGAACTGCATATAATTCAATGACTACTTCTCTCCAACAATACATAAAATCAGAGTTGCTACCTTGTTTAGGAGCTGCAGATAGACACATTAGATCAACAGTTGGGACTATTATAACTGTTGTTGTTCAATTCGGCGGGATTTTGGGATGGCCCGAGCTTTTGCAAGCTCTTGTTGCTTGCTTGGATGGTGGTGATCTAAATCACATGGAAGGTGCTATGGATGCTTTGTTTAAGGTATCTAATGTGTCCAATGTCTAATTTCTTTGGAGTGAATGAAAACTAGGTGCTGTATCTTTTCTGAAAAGCTTGTTTGCTGGTTGAAAACACTGAGGATTAGTGACATGCTGGTTAATCTCTAGGGTGGGAGGGTGAATTTTTTTTATGGCATTAAGAGTGATACTATATCATTCCAATTGATCTGAAAGGTTTGTTTTTAAGATGCATGAATAAGTTTTGGGTGTGTGCATGTACAGAAGCCTTTTGCATTTTTGGGTTAACTGCGTCCTGAGATCAACTTTTTAATCACATGGCATTGCTGAAATATTTTGTAGATCCTGTACCTTATTGAAATCTGTGTTGTTAGCATCCAATTTGGATCTTTGTGCATGATCAGGTTTTCTTAGTGTGCTGACCATAGAAAATAGTTATATAAAGACAAATATTAAAATCAAAGCTATTCTGCAAATTTGATTATATTTAATGATGCATCATTTTTACACAGATTTGTGAGGATATTCCCCAAGTGCTTGATTCCGATGTTCCTGGGTTAGCTGAACGGCCTATCAATATATTTCTTCCTCGATTATTTCAGGTGAAATATGTTTTCTTGTAGAAAAATTTCCATGTTGCATATGTGGGTTCTCTGTTGCTGTAACCAATCATGCTTCTGTTTTGTGAACAGTTTTTCCAGTCATCTCATGCTTCTCTAAGAAAGCTCTCCTTGGGTTCCATAAATCAATACATTATGTTGATGCCTGCTGTGAGTTAGCTTGAATGATTTTGTTCTTTCTCAGTTCTTAACTTCCTATTGAACTTCATTATGATACTTGAGGCAATCATGCATGATTTTACATTATTTTCTTTCAGGCTTTATATGCATCCATGGATAAGTACCTGCAGGGTTTGTTTATTCTTGCCAATGATCCTGCTGCTGAAGTGCGGAAATTGGTGAATAGTTTCTCATTTCTTGTATTTGCATTATTTATGCAATCTTGCACATGGAATGTCAAAATATGCTGAAAGTATTTCCTTCTTGTATTTCCTTCTTTTAGTATTATTTTGTCTCTAAAAGCTTGGCACATATCAAGTATGTTGTCTGAATTATCTTTTACTCCTAACTGCTAGTTACCAGGATAGTAGGAGATAATTGCTTTGGGGTTCAACCAAGTTTTTCCCTTGAATGCTATCTTGCTTTCCATAGCTAAAGGGTTTTCTGAACATTTTTCCTACCTAATGATCAGGTTTGTTCAGCATTTGTTCAGCTAATTGAAGTTCATCCAGATTTTTTGCTGGTAGGCCTCTTTTGTCTGTTACCTTCTAGCTCTTGATGCAAACTTTTCCTAATGATGCCATTTTGTTTTGTTTACATTTTATATTCTTTCTCTTGTTTTATCTGATGACAACCTCCTTTAGTTTGTTCCTAACCTGAACTTTCATTATTTTGTAGCCACATTTGAGAAATATAATTGAATACATCTTGCAAGTCAATAAAGATGCTGATGAAGAAGTGGCACTTGAAGCATGTGAATTCTGGTGAGTCTTATCTTGGCTTGTATCATATAACATCTGAACATATTAAATTAAACTTGATATGTGGAATTTATTCTCTGCTGAAGCTGGTTAGATATTAGAATTATTCACATCATCTGTTGATTGGGCTGTAGTATTCTTCTTCTTCTTCTTCTTCTTCTTCATTCTTCATTCGTTTGAATATTTGCAAAAGATGTTTAAGTTTGAGAGTTGTTTGCTACCCTCTGTGGTTCCTTTTCTAGGTCAAAAAGGGGTTGATGGTAGTGCTTCAGCTGCCTGTCTTTCTTTTTCTTTTTCTGCATTATCATGAGCTATTAGGGATTGATGTTTGTTAGTGGTTTCTGGGTTTGAATGCTCAACCCTTTTCTTTTTAGTGAAAAACTTCACTCCCATTTTTCATGTGTTTTGAATGTTTTCATGTATAATAATAAAGTACATGCATATAGGGTTTGCAGCTATGTTATTCTTCATGGAATTGCTTTTTTCTGCTAATATTTCCCTTTCAATGTTGTTTGGCAGGTCTGCTTATTGCGATGCTCAGCTACCACCTGAGAACTTGAGAGAATTTTTGCCACGTCTAATTCCGGTATACTAATGTATTTCTTATTTTTATCCTTTTCAGCTAATTAATTTTTTGCAGAGCAACTTGCAATCCCATTTCCCATAGTTCTTATATTTTTTACTGTCTCCCACTTTACAGGTTTTGTTGTCAAACATGGCTTATGCTGATGACGATGAGTCTCTTGTTGATGCTGAGGTTAACATCTTTGCCATATTTGTGTCATTGGAAATTTTGAATAGCAATCATAAATAATAGTTGTATGCATTTATTGCTGCAGGAGGATGAGTCTCTTCCAGACCGAGATCAGGTTTGAGATCATTTTTATTTAGTTCATGTGTTCATGATTATATCTTGCTCAACTTAAACAAATTTGAATCTTGAGATTCTCTGATGATACTTGCTCTTCAGGATCTAAAACCTCATTTTCACACATCACGATATCATGGTTCTGAGGATGCAGAAGATGATGTAAGCAGCTAATTGTCTTTCCTCTTTGTTAATTTAAATCATTCGGGTTAATTTTACAATCCTTTGGGTTAATTTACAATCCTTTAGATGGAACTTACTCTAATGAACCTTATGGGTTACAGGATGATGATATAGTAAATGTGTGGAACTTACGCAAATGTAGTGCGGCAGCTCTTGATGTTCTCTCAAATGTGTTTGGGGATGAAATTCTTCCTACTTTGTTGCCTATAATTCAGGTAAATTATCTACTAGGACACAAAATATTGTTTTTGGATAGCATACCTGTTGAATGTATTAATCCATATAGCTGTTACTTCAGTAGAGATATTGCATTAGAAATTCTTTTATCCTGATTGCTTCGTACCCTTCCAATCAGTTTACTGTAGTTAATTATTGAGCAAAAATGTTAATTCAGCTGGTTCTATGTTGCATGAGAAAATCAAATGGTTTCTTGATGCATGGAAAACAACTTGGAGAAATTTGCCTATTTAAGAAACGCTAGTTTTTATTTTGTGTCATTGGGCTTATTGACATTAATGCCATGCGCCTGTGTCCCTGTCAACTGAGATTTTTTTAGGTGTGGGGTGGGATGAAGATTAAGGAGATAGTTAAAGAATAAAGATCATTTATTGGGGTTTTATTAAAGGTTTTATCAAAAGATATTCTGTTTTTTTTCATGTTATGCCATTTGCTTTTTCTTTGATATGTGTCTTCATTTCTCAAATTTATGCAGGCTAATCTATCCCGAAGTGGTGATGATGCCTGGAAAGATAGAGAAGCTGCTGTTTTGGCTCTTGGTGCTGTAGCTGAAGGTTGCATTAATGGTCTTTTTCCTCATTTATCTGAGGTAACTTTTGTCGTTTCATGTTGATTTGCCAAATTTTAAAGCACGATACCTGACTTAAACTGCATGGATGCATGCATGAGATTTATCCTTCTCCTTGTCAATGATATGCTAATGCGTCAGGCCAAATTCAGTTTTTGTTTTTGGCTTTGCTTTAACTGTGCTTTTGATTATCAAGCTATTTTTTTTTCTTCTTTTTGCCTATTGCATCTTCAATACAATAATATGTCATTGTCTTATCTCTGACACTCCATTGCCCCTTTCTCTTATATTCTTTCATACAGTTATTCTCTATTTCTTATTTTGTCCTCTTCACTGATAGGAATTTGAGGGTAACCATTTTTCTTGTCTATGTAGATCGTGTCATTTCTTTTACCTCTATTGGATGATAAGTTTCCTCTCATCCGGAGTATTTCATGTTGGACACTTTCTCGATTCAGTAAACATATTGTTCAGGTATGATTGGATTGTGCTCCATCATTGTATCTCTTAAGCGCATATGTTCTTTCCCTTTGATACCTTTCTTTTTTCAATCCAATATTTAGAATATCAATCATCAAGTTACTAATTTGTGTTAGAAGGCAAGATAGATAACAACTTGTCTTTAAGAATTAGGTAAACTGAATAAGATATGTGGATGTTTATTTCATAAAACTTCAGTAGGTAAACATGATTAAATGGTTGCCATAATGCCATTGATGGCTATGTCATCCACCACACAAACTTTTCCTTTAACCTCTAGGTTGCTAGGTGCCACACACTACATGGTGAGGCACTGGTTGTCACCATGATTTTCTAACTAGAAAATGTTTTGAGAATTCCTCTGTCTGGTTGAATTTTGTTGTTGAGCACACATGTTTCCATCTATTTCAGGACATTGGTCATGAAAAGGGCTATGAGCAATTCGACAAGACTCTTATGGGTCTTTTACGAAGAATATTGGACACTAACAAGAGGGTCCAAGAGGCTGCCTGTTCAGCTTTTGCAACACTTGAGGAGGTTTTTGCCATGGATGCTTTTATCAATTGAATTTTTTGGATTTAAAATCTTAGACACTTTATAACCATCATCTATTTGCAGGAGGCTGCGGAAGAGTTGGCACCGAGACTGCAACTTATTTTACAGCATCTTATGTGTGCTTTTGGAAAATATCAGGTTTGTTTGCTTGCCTTATCATTACATTGAACTCCTCATAATCTCACAAGTACAAGGACTCATGTTTGAGTTGTTACCTGCTCCGCTTTATATACTGTCCTAACTAGCCATCAAATGTTTTTTCTTTTCCCACTGAAAATGATTCTTTTAACTCATACATCTCACCATCTGCAGAGGCGAAATCTCAGAATTGTTTATGATGCTATTGGAACTCTAGCAGATGCTGTTGGAGGGGAATTAAATCAGGTACTTTTAATATGCCTAAGACAATGATTCTCCACTTACTATCTCTTCATATGCTCCAATTTATGCTCAAGCTTCATACCGAAAAGATTAATGAATCTTTTTTTCCCTGGTGATGAAAAAAATTGTATCAACTGACCACTTCTGTAATTTGCAGCCAGTTTATCTTGAAATTTTGATGCCACCACTAATTGAAAAGTGGCAGCAGCTTTCAAATGCAGATAAAGATCTTTTTCCACTTCTTGAGTGCTTTACATCCATAGCACAGGTCTGTACCATTCTTTTATTCTAAATTTCTGAATTGGTAACTCTGAGGTCTTTTCTTTTATGGTTATGCAATATGAATGTACTTTGCAACCTCAGTCAACCTAAGTTAGTAGATCCTTCTATCCATTCATTAAGCAACTGAAACACAAAATCTGATGCATTTGAAGAGAGCTATGTTTTACTTTTTTTTTTTTTTTAAACCCTTCATCACCCAATGTATTACAGAAGCGCTGTTCATTTTTGTACTACTATTGTTGTGAAATTTTGGGCCCTGATTTGTGTTTAACTATGCTTGAGTTTTTAAACCTGTGTGCATCCTAGCAACATAGCTTTCTAGGTCAATATTGTCTTCCCAAACATATAAATCCAATTTAACAATTTTGAGTTTTCTTCTGATGTCTGGTATTTTGAAATCTGTCGTATTTTCAGACATGTCCCTTTTCTAAAGTTTAACCAGAATAACAACCACAAGCTGCTTCTATCAAAAGAATTTATGTGTGTTTATTTCTTTCAGGCACTTGGTGCAGGATTCTCTCAATTTGCTCAGCCTGTATTTCAGAGGTGCATAAATATTATGAGGACACAACAATTGGCAAAGGTTTTAATAAATTTATTTATTTTTTCTTTATAGATTGGTACTGTTGAATTTTAGTTATATTTGTCTTTTAGTAGTTCCTATTACTTTTTTGGTGTTTAATTGGGGTAAAATGTGGGCTCAAAAACTATGATAAATCTCATAAATCAAAATTATATTTATAATGAATTCTACCATGAAGAAAACAGTTAGTTTTAACAGCTTAATGCAAAGGAAATAAAAATGGCTTAATTAATGATTTAGAGGTTGTTGCGTTTTAGTTTGGTTCTTATCCTAATGGCCCTGGTATTGCATCACTGTCTTTTTAGGTGACATTTAATAATTATAAGTTTTACATTTTACTTACCTTTGATGTATGTACCGTTGGCAGTGCTTATGGGTTTTTAAGAAAAGTATTGATTGGATCTTTAATTGCAGGTTGATCCTGTTTCAGCGGCAGTTCAATATGATAAAGAGTTCATTGTGTGCGCTCTTGACTTGCTCTCTGGACTTGCAGAGGGTCTTGGTAGTGGGATAGAGAGTTTGGTACATCCCTTTCCCCTTATCCTTTCAATAAGATGAAACCCCACCTTCCCTGCTACTTCCCATTACCCCTTCTTTCTCTGTGCAAGTAGGTTTTGTTTTAGCTTTTGTTAAAGTTGGTTTTTGATGAGAAAATCATGAGAAGTCATTGATTCTAACTGCTCCCCTACACGATGGCCAAGAACACTGCTTCCTACATGCTTTGCAGTAGTTATTACTATTATTGCAAAAGGTCTGATTAAGTGGATTGACTATTGGATGAATAATTTCTTTCTTTCATCTAACTTCTATACCTTCTTTCTAGTCCATGTTATGGAAAAAAGTAATGGTAATGATGGTCCCTTTTTTTTTCCATGTCTGTCTAACCACCATGATCTACTAAAAGTGATTCTTTAATTAATTCTTAATAATTAGTTCAACATGATCCTAACCTAAAAATGTAAACTGAATTGTATTTCCTTGTCCTATTGGACTTGTGACACAGGTTTCAGAGAGTAGTTTGAGGGATCTGCTTCTGCAGTGTTGTATGGATGATGCTAATGATGTCCGGCAAAGTGCATTTGCACTTCTTGGGGATCTTGCAAGAGTAAGTTAAAAAGAGATCATTAGTTAATCTCATTCAGAGCTGGTAAAAAAAATGAGTTAATCTATTTTGAATCCAGCTTAATTGCCATGATGTGGAGGGGGCAGGGGAATGGTGAGAATGCTAGGAACACAACCTCTTAATTTAGGGATAAAATTGTAGAGCTGCTATCTTTCACCAGGCCCACTTGAAGCTAATGATTGTGTTCTTTAAATGTTTAGGACTCATTTAGTTTTTTGATTAGTCATGTCTTGTTGTCTCTTTTTTTTTTAGGCTTGCCCTATCCATTTGCATCCTCGTTTGTCTGAGTTTCTCAATATTGCAGCAAAACAATTGGTAAGATGAAACTGACTGTATGGTTCTAATTGTTATATTTGGCTGTCCTCTATTGACATATCATATTCTTGCTTCAGGATACATCCAAGTTAAAGGAAACCGTTTCAGTAGCTAACAATGCTTGTTGGGCAATTGGAGAGTTGGCAATTAAGGTATGGCAGATTTTTTTTGGTCCAATCAGTAAGACTGGCATAGATTAACTTCATCACTTTATTGGCTGGATTTATTGTAAGCTAATTTGTCAACCTTGAAATTTCAGGTTCGTCAGGAAATTTCACCGGTGGTCATGACAGTTATCTCATGTTTGGTCCCGATCCTTCAGCATGCAGAGGTGATCTTCCCTTTCATTATGTCTGGAATGTTTGTTGCCTACTTGGAAGAGTTATGGAGTGAATTTATCTTTGCAATTGATATGTAAATGACATCTTTGGATGACGAGCAGGGGATTAACAAGTCACTCATTGAAAATAGTGCGATTACACTGGGAAGAATTGCATGGGTCTGTCCAGAACTCGTAGCACCACACATGGAACATTTCATGAAAGCATGGTGCATTTCGTTGTCAACGTAAGTAATCATGCCTTTCGCACTCAAGATGTCAAAAGCTGAAAAAATCCCATCACCAAGTTATCTTATGCCCTATGGATGATAAATGAATTAAGCTTAGCATTGCAAGATAATTTTTTGGTGTTACATTGTTTACACCTACTGATCTCTCTAGCAATTGATTTACACCAGGATACGTGATGATATAGAGAAAGAGGATGCTTTCAGAGGTCTCTGTGCAATGGTATGCATACAGTTTAGTTTTGAATTTCTATCTCTTTTCTGATATAGATTGTAGCGGATTTGCATCAATAATCCAATCCACGGTTTGGTGGTGCTAAATGATTTCAGGTCAGAGCAAATCCATCGGGGGGTCTAAGCTCACTTGTTTTTATGTGCCAAGCTATTGCAAGTTGGCATGTAAGGATGCCCTCTTATTGTTTTTGAATGTTCTAGGTTTTGAATGATAAGCTGGATTCTTGACCTCACTTATATATGTAGGAAATACGGAGTGAAGAACTACATAATGAAGTTTGCCAAGTGTTGCATGGTTATAAACAGGTTGGCAATGTTCTTATATTAAATGTTCGTTTGACAGCAAGTAGTGAATTTCTTTAATTCATTAAATGATAATAGTTACTGAAATATGAAAAACATACGAGAATTATAAGAGTTAATTCATCAAGTTAATACAATTCATGCAGATGCTGAGGAATGGAGCATGGGACCAGTGTATGTCTGCTTTGGAGCCCATGGTGAAGGACAAACTTTCTAAATACCAAGTGTAGAAGTTTTTTGGTCATCAGTGCTGGGTATCTCTACAACCTGCAATTCTTCAGATACTGTATCTACATCAGTAACTACTGGTCATTTTGTGCATTGTTGGATTGTATTGGGAAGGTGATTCGTTTAGGCAAAAAAAGATCATTGTGGTCATTGTTTTTTCCTAGGCAAAGCATCAGTATTGCCTCAACCCATCAAATCAAGCAGATTTGCATCTGCCGGGAATGCCGACAGCTTGGCTATGTTTGGTTTGAGGGAGACAAAGCAACTTGGAATTTGGGTGTGGATATTACATAGCGGCATGCCAGTCAGTTTTGAGAAAGTGTTTCCTTGTTTTCTGTCTTAGAATGGCTAAATGATATCGTACATTTTCGCATTTTGATGATTTAATTAACTGGTTTTTTTTCTTTTTTATTGGGTCCTTTTATAAGGATTAGATGGGTTTTTGGTTTGCAATCCCCATAGGTTTTTTTTAGAAGGGGTTTTGACATTTATCACTACAATTTTCTGTCCTATATATGTTGCAAGGTTTGTATCGTGAAGAAATTTCAATTTTTTTTTTTATTGAATTCAGCAATTATGAGATTGGGATTGTGGAGAACAATAATGCCATGTAATTGTTGTTAAACCTGTGGGAGGATTATTGGCAATTCGATTCTTTGAATGCCTTTTACACCTAAAATTCCAGTATCTTTACGACACTGCTTGTTAGAACCTTAAGTTTTAGATTGGATTGGGGAAGTTGGAGGGGAAGGAAAGGAGAAGAAGGAAGGGGAGATGTCACCATTTTTTATTTGGGTTATCAATTTTAAAGGAGAGGAGGGGAGATTGAGGGAGATGGAATATTCCTTCACTCTATTGTTTTTAGTTCTTTTAAAATGAAGGGATTTGGAAAGATTTGCTTTATATATTTAATTTTTTTTAAATATATATTATATTATTTTTTTAATTAGTAAATTATAAAAATTTTATTCTATTTTTTAAAATTATTTAATTAAAAAATATTATCTTTTTTTCTCTTTTATTATTTTCTGTTTAAACAAAGTAACATCAATTCTTTTCTTCCTTTCACTTCTCTTCCTTTTTTTTTTCTCCTCTCCTTTCTTTTTCTTTTTTTTTTTTTCTTTCTTTTACTCATTTTTATCCAAACAAACGCTAATATAAAGATCAATGTTGAGGCAGCATTGCTCATAAAAAAATATCCTACGTTCTTGCAACTTAAGATAGTCCATGGCAAAGAAAGGAGAAACTGAAACGAAAGTATTAGATTGTATTGATGCAATTAATATGATGCTGCTCTTCAATCCATCCAACATTCTACCTGTGATTCCCGTGATGAAAGTGTACGGGAAAAGAGATCTGAAAATTTATGTCAGTAGGACAGTAGCTATTACTAGTTCAACCTGAATGATACAACCATTGCCGGTTTCTTGCACAAATTGCATATGTGCGACACAACCATTATCATCGAGATTGAACATGTGGGATTTTTCCCGTTTAAATATTGTAGTAGAATTTTCTCGCGCAATTGTCTTGGTTTAAATAATATTCAATTTTTGTTAATATTATTTTCTTAACTTATAGTCAAAAAAAAGAAAAAGAAAAAGAAATATAATGATTGCATATTTATCAAATTATTCTAATATCCCATTGCATCAAGGATCCTTTACCGAAGTTCTGAAACATTGCCGCACTTGCTGGTACATAGATAATATATTTCATTTTCACTTTAAATTATAAGAAAATGATTTAAAGGTAATTTTTTCATATTATTTTTATATAAATTTACGTATTAATTAATGATTAGTCTTTTTTATTAATTTAAAGTCGATGAAACAACATTTAAAAAAAAAAAAAAAAACTTGGCATGAATAATTTATAGTTGATTTTATCAGCATTTTTTTGATAGCAATAATTATGATTGGTTCTTTTGCTTAGCAAGACGTGTGAATCAATAATATTGTGATTATATCAATTCTGATGTTAAACGTTAATATGTTTATCTGTATGTAACATTCATACCAAGTTGGTTTGCAGCATATTATGTTTCTTGGTAGCTGAATTCAGTCAACAATAATGTTGATCATAAGGTCTTATGAAACTCATTGCCAGCACAAGATGTCACACTCTGTTTTTCTTCTTCACCGAGAATCAAAAAGTTGCGGCGGTCGGGAGAACTGATTCTCTTCATCTGCTCAGCTGCCACTGTTGCTGCCAGTTCTAATCTTTCCCATCTCTCCTTCCTCTTCATCGCCTCCTGGCGCGCCTCCAATTCCCTGATATCCATCTCCTCCAGGTAGCGGTGGTATAGATTTGGATCCATATCTTCCAGCATGGCCTTGAGGGTTTCTGTCAGCTAGTTCACGCTCTTGCTCCAATGGAACTTCAGGTTCTTCTCCATTCCTTCGATGATCACCGGAAACACTTCTTCTAATACTGCTGATGCCATCTTCACAAACAGCTCATTGTCCCGTACATACAGAGCACGCTCTGCGACCTGATCAAAAGAAGAAACAAAAAAAAAAGAAGAAAAGAAGTCAGAACAGAGGAAACAGAGCATCTGATAAAGAAGTTATGGAAGGAGGGTTTTGCCTGTGAGTTGCAGCTGCTCAAGCATCGTGTTATCTGAGTACATAAAGGCAGAGCCAATCTCCGGTAATGATCAGGATCTATGTTCTCTACAAGTTCTTCAAGTTCCCCCAGTTAGCCAATATTTCAGAATTCCTCTCACAACAACCCCACCAAGGGCAGGCTCTTTCTGTATAAACTGAGACACACAGTAAGAGAGCTGCTTGTGATAAAGTCGCAATCCTTTTGTCTTGTGCAAAGGAATAAGCACTCTCGTCAGGAACAGCTTGTGCTCTTCCTTTAAAGGAACTGCAAAACCATTGATTATACTTCCCCATATCTCAAGCAGATCGGATATTCCACAGTGCCTTTCTGTCTCGAAAACATAGTGCAAGAAGACATCATTCATCACTTTTCTCATGAATGATCGATAGAAGGGGAACCTGGAATATATCCGGTAGAAGACATTCTTCAAGCTCTCGCGTTCTCTGGGGTCTTCAGACTGAAAAAGGGAGACAAGATTGAGGAGGAAATGATGGTCAATGTAATCACGCAGTATTGTAGGATCTACGTTGAGGACAAGCCTAAGAAGAATGTCATATACAATCTGCAAGTGCAGCCATGCTGGTGAAAAGTTGGAAATGAGTTCATCATCAGGGAGGTCAGAGACGGTGAGGGTGTTGGAAGGTGGAGGGAGTGGCCCGAAGAGATTAGTTGATATCATGATCATTAGATGTGACAGAAGAAATTCATCCACTGACCTTTTGCAAAATTTGACTATGGAGGGTATTTGGTTGAGCTTGAGCCTCTTTAGATCTTGCCGTGAAGGAGACTCCAAAGGATCAGTGAAAGTGAAGATGAAGTTGCACTAGGAGACTGCGGAGAGGATTTCTTCATATCGAGACTCAAAAGAAGATTGCCTGACAGGACTAGAAAGTCTGCTTGGACTGTAATGCCCGGAATCCAGATCAAACAGGCACCGAAGTGTCGTGGATTTTTTTCTCTGGAGACGCATCAGGGGATTCCTTTCTCTTTGGAGAATTCCTTAGAACACCCATTTCCACTTTCCCTTCTTGTTCTTTCCCTGCAGATTTCACTGAAAGAGAGAATGTTAAGATGTTTCTGTTCACTTTATATCTGTTTTTTCTTGTAGAGGACCAAAACAAAAGCCAAAAGAACAGCGATGTTTTATAGGCAAATGTAAATTCCGATCACAAACCATTGAATTCTCCCCCCAAATCACGGAAACTTTGGCAGGTAAATAAGACAATCAATATGTTAATCATCGAATCCTCTCCTTAATCGCCCAAGTGAGAGCCATGTGGATTTCTCCAGTTATAGTGAGGTGAAGACATCAACAGCTAGCTTTGTTGCAAAGTCATATGGAGCTAGAGGAAGAGGACAACATCTTACTTTAAACTTTAAATCTCTCCATGTGCCTCTCCCACCCATCAGTCCTAGCAATTTTTTGCAGTGGGGAACCTATTTCACGAAGGAATTTAGAGAAACAATGCTGAGATATCTAGATTGTAAACTTAGGAAATTTTACTAGAGTTTTCCCAGATGTTACTTATTCACACAACAATTAACTCTGGGATGGAGAGCCCCTTGAATGAAAGGGTTTTGTTTTTGCAGTCCAACCAATTTGAAATATAAAATTGTGAACTCTTTTTACAATCATTACTAACAAAATTACACTTGGAAAAAACCAAAACCTTAACCTAGTCTAGAACTAGAAAGGATAATTCCGCAGACATGGTTACCTTGGCCGGACAATAATGTGCTTAGGTAAGATGACGCTAAGGATACCACTAATAATACAAAAAGACAATCCAGCTAATCCTTGTTCATTCTTGTTTAGTTGCGCTTGGTAGTAGGACTTTGTTGTATAATGAGACCTGCAAGGCTGTTGAGACTTCCTCTAAATCTCATTCTGAATCCATTACTTGAAACTCTAAAACCAGAAGGCAGAAACTTCACCTAAAAAGCAAAGGCCATTGGCTTTTCATTTACTAAAGTAGACAGGGAAGTTGGAAAGGGTAAAGAGAGCATAAAGGAATATACCAATGCTAGAGCTCTGTTGAATCGCAAGGAAATCAACTGGGAAACAACCAAGTAGCTCCGTTTTGAACTCTTTAGATATCCCTTATTACCTGTTCACGTGCAATCTTCAAAAAAGCGACTGAATATCGTATGAAGGAAAATGCCAGTATTCCTAAGTTTAGCTGCCTCAGGTATTTTGTTATGGAGAAGCCCTGAGCCATTTAGTTTCTCTAAGGACATGATCGGATGCATTTCCATGGTAATGCTACTGGAAAAGAAAAAGGAATCATTTTAAGAGAGAAAGAACAAGTAATGCTCGTTACATTACAGATAATGGATGTCTGGGAGGTCAGTATTCATGGAGAATCTGACCCATCTCTTCTTCTCAAGGTAGCGGAGACAAGGGTGCAGTACAAACCCAATCATCACGGCCAGAATGCTAATGGCCATGATTTTGTAAGAAGCAAAAGCTAAAACCACAAAAATTAACAGGGTAGGAGGAATACACATTAAGATTGATCCAGTTGTGCCGATAGGTATCTTATATGGCCGAGATGCTGCTGGGTATTTCATCCTCAGCTTCACAAATGCTATGAACTCCATAATCATTCCAAAGCAGTACAAGTAGTTCTCTGCAGCTACTATTTCTTGAAAGCTCAAACATGAAAGCAATAAAACACCAGATGCAGAGAACAGAATGCCAATTATAGGGGTTCCATAATGGGACCTTGTTCCAAAAAAATCGGGAAGCATACCACGCTCCGCCATCCCTTGAAGTTGGAAGGAGTCACTGCTCATCTCGGCAACAAACATCCCCATGTTTGATAGAGCAGAAGCTGCTTGGACCCAAGATCTCAACCAGACACCTCCAAGCATTTTAGCAATATCTGAGAAATACCCATCAGTCCACTTCCTGCGATCAAGTGGAATTGCTCCAGTACCAACCAAAAGAGGAAAAAAATATCCAAAAACTACCAAGATACCAGCATAAAGGAGAGCTTTAGGAAGAGTTTTACTTGGATTTTCTGTCTCTCCAGCAAGAGTGCTGATTGAATCCCAATAATTCAGATTCCAAAAAAGAGTATTCAAGTACAAACCCCAGTCCATATTGCCAAAATCTACCACAAACCACCTTGAAGGCTCAAGTTTGGGAATTGCCACAATTCCCATGAAAACAAAAGGAAGAAGAGAAAACACACCCAGTAATATTGCAACTTGTCCCACGATGGTTAAACCTCTGTAGTTCAAGTAAGTCAGGCTAACAGTCAAAACCAAAACTGCAAGAGTTCTTGGGAAACCTCCTTCTAAAGCTGGGATTGCTGATTTCATGTAGTCTAGAAATAAAACTGGGTACAATGCATTGTCTATTACTCCACTTAACCATTTCATCCAACCTTGTTGGAAACCCCAGAAAGGACCCAAAGCAGATGAAACCCAAATGACATATCCACCATTTTCAGGAAACATTGTACCTAATTCTGCTGTTATTAGCGCCTCGGGGACACTCCATACAAATGGAACTATCAAAAACCCAAGAAGAGCTAGAAGTGGACCAGCTGCTTGGACACTGTCTTCAACACCAAAGGGCCCCCCAGATACTTCATAGAAGATCAAGAAGACAAGTGGTATAATCGAAACCTTTTGGTACTTCTCTAGTTTGGGAGAAGAAACTTCTCCCAATTCCATATAGTCGGCACTGGTGGTATCCACCATCTGACCAGAGTTTTGACTAGCTAATGGAGTCCTTTGTTTCTGCATACAAAAAGAATTTTTAAAGACATAGTATCAAAAAACAATGAACATTTTCAGGTTCAGAAATTAGTAGGGGTAGAAAAATAGCATGACAAATATCAAGGTGCAGCATCTTCTGTTTACACAAACATGCAACGCAAGGAAATAACTGCCAAGATGCTGTCATATTAAAACAGAATCTGAACAATAGTTCTCCATACCGTCCCCTCTGTGACTCTCTCAGTCTAAAACAACCATAAGGAAAGACAAAGCTTTTTGCTTCCCATATGGGATAGTCTAAATTTTGCAACTCTTTCTGAGCTCAGTAGTGTCTTAACTGGCACACAACCCCCAAAAAAAAAAAAGAAGAAGAAGAAAAGGAGAAGTTTGACACACATAGACAGCTATAAGCATCGAAACAGATAGCTTCCCAACAATCTAAGCAAGTTTAACCCAATTGAGATGTCAACTAGCATCTTTTGGGTCAGTATGCCAACCAGCATCTAAACCAACTTTCCCCCAAATTAAGCAACTCTAATAAATACATGAAACCAGAAAGCCTAACAATATATCAAAGCCAGAATAATTTCTCAATCTCATTTTTGGCATAGTCAACTCAAACCTTTATCTGTTCTCCTTGTTCTTTAAGGAAAGGTTAAATGAACAGGGCAAAACTACAACAATTGATTATTAAAAAATTCTCCTTTTTCCTTGGACAAAATCAAGATTCTAATTTAGCAAAAATTCATAAAACGGAACAAAAGGATCAAGCAATTGCGGAACAGAAACAGCAGAATCAGATTATTACGGACAATTAAACATTAAAAAAAAAAAAAGAATATAAAAAGAAAAATGCACCTGTTTTCTGGTCCAAAATTCAGACAACCCAGAATGTCCAAATAGCAAATCATGAACATTGAACAAATTCAGTACAATAACAGAGAAGGATGCATGGAAGAGAATGAGAAACTAACCATGGAAACGAGGACCGTAGCAGCATTAGATTTTGTGGGTAGTGGCGTGGGTTCGGCTATGTGTCCGAATGAGAGAAAAACGAGGGTAGGAGTTATCCCCACGTGTTGTTTTGCATTTTGTACGTGTCCTTCAGTTTCAGCAGCATAGAGAAAAAGGCAGATCTGCAGTGGGGATGTGGAACAGCTGGGAATGGGAAGAGATCAAGAAGGGCCGATGAAGTAATCAAAACGAAGTCGTATTCCCAAGTTTGTTATAAAAACGCACCGGTTTATTATTGTGCCACGGAAGAATTCCTCGTGAAACAAAAATCAATACTTAAGTAATAGTTTGACGAATTTGTCGATCCACATACTAAAATGTGATAAATATATTTTTTTATAATTAATTTATATAAAAATTATAATTTTTATTTTAATAATATTATTATATAAATAATTTTAATTAATTAATTAAATTTTAATCAATTTTTATTATTTTTAATATACATTATATATATATAAAATATGAATTCCACTAAGTGACTCGATGGGTCCTGTGCTTCATTAATAGAGGTGAGATATTCACCAAATTTAAAATCGAATCTTCAATTACTAACAATTAATAAAATTAAGTTACTAACCATTATACTTGTAAATATGCATGTATATAAAATATATTTATTATATTCTTACTTTTTTTGTATCATTACTGTAGGCTATTAAAAATCACTTTTTTGACCTATATTTTATTTTATTTTTTGTAAATGTATAGGGTTATGACTTTGCAAAAGTGCTTTATGACTTTTTTATGAACTTTATGACTTTTTTATGAACTTTATGACTTTTTATTTTAAGAACTTGTTTAAGTCACAAATTTATAATTTCTTAAATTAAAATTTTTTTAAAATTTTTTTTAATTTAGTAAATTTTAATTATTTTATGATTATTTATAAATCAACAAATTAAACTAATAATAACTTTGCTTTACTTTGCTTTGTTTTCCTCAGTTACCAATCCACAAGTCATGAGAAATGATGAAGGTTGTGATGAGTCTTAAATGTGATAATAATTAGTCCTACCACTTTAAGAGAAACAAAATAAAGGTTTTGTTTAACGCACTTGGCCTGAGGTCAGTGCATTCTCCTATTTATTTATTGGGTAATGGTTCAAATCCGGTTATTGTAAATTTATTAAAAAAAAACAAATAAAGGTTTGTTTAACATGTTTATTTAGGAGATATGGTAATGATATATTTATTATATTTTTTTATTAATTTATATAAAAAAAAATATAAAAAATAATTTATTTTTAACACTAATAATACATATTTAATTTTAATTAAATAGTTACTAAAATTAAAGTAACAATTAATAAAAAAAATATGTAATTAATATACTAAAAACAGATGAAAATTAAAAAACCCATAAAACAAAGAGATGAAAATAGAATTGAAATTTGGAAGTCAATTTTCTCTATTTCAAAAAAATTAGAAATAATGCATTCCTTTAACAGAAACATTTAAAATTCTCATACCCCTTATTATAGAACAAATATATATTTACCTCTTTATTAGTTGAAGGCTTCCATCTATGTTTTGATTAAAGAATTCCTAAAGATTTATCTTTTTATTAACCTATTTATTTACTCATTTAATTAGAAAAATGACAATTTAATTATAACTTTATAGCAAATATCAATTATATTAAGAAACTTATGAAATCATTATATTTTGGGTTCTTGCATAACAAGGCAATGCTTTAATGCTGGCACAGCACCCCTCACCCCCACATACGGCAACAATATAAGCTGTTGCTGACTCATTAAAAGCCGTCTTGTTTTCTCCTTCTTTTTCCTACCCATACTTAAATGGGAAACTCCTTTAAAAAAAAACAAAAAAATCCACAAATCTAGAGTCGGGCCAGCCACTCGTCAGTGAGTCCTCCGTCCCCAAAATTTGGCGTTGTTGTAACTTGCAACCGACCCACCCGTTCCGCATGTTCCCCCACGCGCATAATCTCCAGTCCACGGTGACTGTCCACCCAAAATCAAACGGAAAATGTTGCTGGCAAAAACAAACAAACAAACAAACAGGAAAAAAAAAGAAAAAAGAAAAACAGTAACTGCTGTAGTTGTTTTATTGGGAAATCATCAACGCTTTACGATGACAAAAATCATAATTTCTGCAAGCCGTGCGAATAGAATACGAATATTCTTCTTCTTAGAGTGAGAGGGAGAAATTTCTACTGTAAAAATTTTGTTGGTAATTACTCGCTTTATAGAGTTTAAATCCCCAATTAAAAATTAAGAACTAAAGATAAAAGTTATTGTGTTTATTATATAAAAATAATATATATCAATTTCAACTATTTAAAAATTTTAAAGACTCAACTTTAAAAATATCATACTTTAATAAATATTTTTAAAAATTAACTATTAAATTTATTATTTTCTTTATATAAATAATGTATATTCGTGAAACATGCATTAAAAAATACTTCTTTCATCCCTAACTTGTTTTTTTACTTTAAATTTATTTTAAATTAATTGTTTGTTTGTTTTTTTTATTTTTTTAGGTTGATAATATTTTTTTCTAATTTAAACCTATTATTATTTATTTATTATAATTAATTATCATCACACAAAAAGTCTGATTTTATCTTTTAATTGTTTTAAAAGTAATATAGATAAATACATAAATTGTTTCTAAATAAAAAATTAAAAAATAATTATTATTTTGAAACTGAGAAAATATAATTTTTTGATCAAATAATTATAAATATTAGATTAATGTAAAAATTAATAAGTATAATTTATATAAATAAAATATTAAATTTAACAATTAAAATTTTAAAAATTTTATTAAATAGTGATATTTTTAAAGTTGTAATTCCAATTTTGTTATGGGAATCTCTTCTTGATCCCTCACTAAAAGAACAAGGTTGAACCTTTTAATTCTTGAAAGGGAGTGAAGGGTTTCTATGTTTCAATGTACCCACTTTTTATTTATTTATTATTTATTAGATAATGATAAATAGTATCAAAATTTGAAATTAATGATATGACATAAATTATGTTATTAAAAATATTAAAGAGTAACTATGATATTATTTAATAGTCAATTCTTTTTATTTTTTTAAATTTGTGATATTACATACATTAATTAATTTAATGATATAAATTATGTTATATCATTAATTTTAAATTTTCATTTCAAAATTTTGTATTCCTTATCATTACTCTTATTT